AAATGTTTATTCGAAATGGAATTCAAAATTTATCGGAAATAATCTCAACTTGGCCATTGAGAGAGTAGAGGTGCTTGCAGTTCCTATATAGCATTTTCAGTTGGCATGAGAGCCACATGGCTTCATCCTGGAGAGGGTGGATATTCTGCTTAGAACACCCTCAGTCCTTTGGAAACTACCAGATGCAAGGAAATGCATGCAATTTAACATCCTCACCATGTACTGCCTGGGGGACAATGGCTTCAAGTCATCCTCAAGAATGTCATGCACTTTCAGATGACATGAAAGGGTTAAGCAATACCACTCCACATCTCTCTAAGGTTCCATTATCTGACATATGATGTAAGGGGAAATGCATCTCCACAGTGGTCTGACTGGCTGCCTATCAGTCAGTGGCATGAAAGTGCCGCTTTAAGACTGCCTCTAGTGGCTGCCTGCCAGACAGCCAATAGAAGACTTCCTTTTATTTCAGAGAGTTTAACTGCATGAAATAACACCAGACATCTTCACGCTTTGAATGAGGATATCCAGTGCCCCATAGGAAAGCACTGATTCAGTGCTTTTCTATGGGGAAGACCTGATGTGTGCTTGATGCTCACTGTGAATTAGCTTCTGGTTCTCCCTCAATGCTGACAACGGAGGATGTGGAGATGGAGCCAGCGCCAAGGGACTTCAGCACTGGTGCTGAAATTGGGTTGGGGGGGAGAGCAAAGGGACACTATAGTATATACACAGCTTTGTATTCCTAACACTTTAGTGTTCCTTTAAAGATTGTCTAGGATAATAGAACTAATTGTTTTCTATGTGGTGCTTGAAGCAAAATCTATACCTCTAAACATAATGACAGCCTTTGTTATACTGGTTACAAAGCTTGGGAAGGGATCTATTCAACATGTCCGCCTGAGGTCAAGGACAAGATAAAAAGATAGAAAATATAATGTAAAACTACCTGCAACTGTCCTGAATATATCTAAAGCGTTTTCTACATTCCCACCTTCTACTCATATTTAAATTAACCATGTGTTTTCACAAAGAATCAGACTGCTCCTAGACAGCTTCATCCTCTTTATGTCACACAAGAGTGTAAAAGGCATACCTTCATACCCATACACCATGTATATAATTTTAACATCCATACAAATATAATGTGTTCATCACAAATGAATTTATTAGCAAAATATAATGAATTGTGTGGCAAAAGTAACCTCGCCACTGGTTTTTGGAGGGGCTTGTTTGCCAGCCTTGTACCCTGTGATTATGGTCCTGTCATGAACTGGAGGTTAAAGATACTATTTCTGCCTCTAGGACGTCTAACTGGAATAGATTCAAACTTTTGAAGTGTCACTTCGACTACAGTCGAAGTAGACGAAGTTTTGAAGTGGCTGCCATTTGACATTTGAACACGTGGTGGCGACCATTTTATTAGGTCGAACGTGTTCAGCTGTGTTTTGTCGTCTAGTTCATGGAACTCAAATCGGACACGCGACGGAACGACCACCGCTGAAAAGTTATCTTCCATGGAACTTTGACAATTCGAACGGGATTTGAATGGCGTTCAGTGAGTCGAAGCCCACGAACAAGGGACACACATTGACTATGTGCATTCCCCATTTTGTTCGGTAATTCAAACGGTACTTCCAGTGTTTAAAATAGACCGGCCACACAGCCTAATTCTCTGGAACTGTTTTGAGTATGAAACCATGCGTATGGTAAAAAGAGACTTCCAGGAATTTCCTGAACCCCTGCACTGATCTGGGTGATTTTTGGATATGTTGTTCACCCAGATCAGGGCTATCAGTGGATATGTTGTATTTTGGGGTACTTATTGGACTTTGTAAAAATGTGTGTCTTCTGTCTGCGGATAATTAAGTTAATGTATTATCTACCTTAATTATATCACAGGCAGAGGGGAGGGGATTGTAGGTGTGTTATGGGAGTGTCATACAGTTAATTATTGTTCTTATTGGTTTATTCCCTTTGTGTCCCTGTGCCCAACAAGGTGCACCTGGGTGTCAACCTTGTTGGAAAACTTGTATAAAAGGCCAGCTGTGGCTTCCATTAAACAGACTACTTTTACCCCTTCATGAAGTCTTGGCTCATGTTTGGGGGATTGGAGAACTACACTCTGGGGATTGCTATAATCACTATACTCCACATGAGGGTAATCACTAGCTCTTCTAAGAGCTGTTCCTGCTATGCTCTCTGGAGTATATATCTGCCCACTGGGTGCTGGAACCTGGTCTTGGGTCCAGGGTGGGTAGAGGACGGCGAGATCCCAACCAAGCTGCAGCGGTTCGTGGAGTCTACAGTGCTTATTGTGTCGGGTGGAGTGCTTGGAGCCCTCGGTAAGCATCGATTGACGGAGATAGCCAGTCGGGGTGCCAGGCGGTCTGTCACAAATTGTATTTATGGGCATGTATTTTAAAAGGCACAAAAGAAGTCCTTGCATAGTGAGTAGAAATGTAATTGACAGAGCAGTTAGTCAAAGCTCCACCTGCTCCCAAAGCAGTGAGATAGGTAAGTAAAATGGTGATCTTTAGTGCTTGAGCAGCTGCTTGAGTCCGTGGCTAAACTAAATAATTTTTTTGGGCCTTCCTATTGCAAAGAGGCCAAAACGTAAATCCTCATGTGTCATAAAACTCCCACAATGCTTTGCTTGGCTGGGTATCTACAATTTGCCCCTCCGTGCAGAGTTGTGTTTAGCACCGTGCAGTGTTTGTTGTTTGAATGTACAAAAGACTGAAGAAGTTCATAAGTAGAGCAGCAGTTTACAGTTCTCCAGTCTGCTTATCATTAACCTATCCTTCCTCCACGGACACAGAGAGACTAAGTTCTAACTCCCTGAGGAAGTGATAACAGTCTCACGAAACACGTGGGAGCAGGCAGGGAATTATCACAGTTTTTGCTGTTTTCTGGACTTTGCTTTCTGAACCGCTTTTGAGTACAGTGAAACTCTGGATCAGATCTCCACCCAGTTAGGTGCCCAACCGAGGGAAGTAAAGGATTTCTCATCTTTGGTCTTCAGTAAGAGCTGTTTTAAAATTTGTTTCAGCTATATGCCACCATATCCCATAGCTGTCTGTGAGTACACTACATTGGGTTCTTTTTATTTGTATATATATATATACGGTATTTTGAGAAAATAAAGGATATTACACCATAGTTTGTGTTTTGCACTTTTTAGGACTTATCTACTAAACTACCATTGTTTAAATGTAAGCATGGTTTTGTATGTAGTACGTGTTAGTGAATGTAGGGGTGTGTCACAGTTTCCAGTTCACTCCTTAGGTTATATCCCCTTGCGCAGTAACATTGATCACCACTCACCCTGTTTGCTGCTATTACTTACATCTAGGAACATTAGTACTTCAGCTAGCTCTTGTTATGCCCCTTTACAGTCTAGCCTCATCCTTCATTCCAGGCCAGATAATTTCACTTTTCCTGTTGCAGTATAGGCATTGCATCCTGTGGCTCTGTACCCTGCGGCTCTGACCTTGAATCCTGTAGCTCTGTATCTTGTGACCCTGACTGTGCATCCTGTGGCTCTGGACATTAATCCTGGCCAGCGTACTCTATTTAACCCAGAAGGACTGTACCCTGAAACACGGCCCACACCTCCTGTGCTAGACCTGGGTCTACTGTATGATTTATGTCTTCACTGTATTAATGGTGTATTTTGTTCTTTGGTTTTCCTTGTATCATATTTGTTTACTTCTTATAATGTAAATTTCTGCATTACTTCCTTGTGGTTGTCAGTTATTTTTTCTGCATATTGGGTTCCTCTTCTTGACTGGATTTGCTGTCATAGGTCAGCACCCCTTCCTACCCTGACAAACCTTGACATAATGATCTGGCCTGATCTGGTCCCCAAAATTGTGAACCTGCAGAGAAAATGTCTGTGAGCACAATGAATAGCATTGCTGGTAGTGACCCTGATTCACAGCAAGAGTCTAATGAGATCGATGCTTGTTGTGGTTAGTTAAGCCATCTCCAGCGTCTTTGTGTGCTTCCGCTTTTGATGCTTGCTGTCTAATACAGAAACCTATTTTATGTGCTCTAATATCTAAACTACAGTCCTATTACAAAGATATATCTGACCTATTTTCCTCACTGATACCTGCTTTTGAAGGGTTGCTAGGGAAATCTCCAATTATAAGTCAGGTGTATGGAATCCTCAGTGTTTCCCTTATAGAGATATCACATAAAGTCTTTATCTTACCTGAAAAAAACAGTTAAGAGTAATGCATTCTAATTATCTTACTTTGCAACCAGCCTTGCCTGATCTCATTGACCTATTGCAAGAAAGGAAGAATCCAATTGTTTCTGGTGATAATGATGAATGTCCTATCTTAGAATTGTTAAGTACTGACTATCTTATTTCTGATCCTGAAATTTCTCCTCTGTTCCCTGAATTGCAATCTCTCCACCCTGTTGAGAACACTTTATGTCCTCCTGACTCTGACTTGGATTCCTCTATTTTGGGGGACTGGCTTGTAGATCCTCCTGACTGTAATACTGGATGTGCTTATCATGGAAACAAAAACTGAATGCCTTCCTGCCTTCATTGAAGAAGAATCTGTTGAGGCGGCATACAGTACTGGTGATTACCAAATGGACTATGTCTTTGATGTTCTTGGTGCTCAATATATAGCAGCATTGGAGGAATTCTGTCTGATTTCGAGGAATGCACAGAGACACAGTTTCAAAATACTGCCTCATTATAAGAGACATACCATGTTCCTGAACCACCATCTTTTTGTGGCAAAGTCTATTCACCTATACCCAGGGTCGATATTCTGGCTTTCCAGGGGATTGCTCTCGCTACTGATCCTGAGTCCACATGCCAGGCAAGAGAGTTTCTACAGCTTCGCCCCCACAGAAGCGAAGAGGAGACAAACTCACCTGAGAATCTGACTCCAGTGTCATCCACAGTAGAAGCCCCTCTGTTGCATCCTACTTCAGTGTACTCCATTTGTCTTTCCATATCCGAAGAAGACCTTATGAAAACCCCTTGGTGTGCATCCGAGAATGTGCATAATCAAGAAACAGAACCCCTGTCTGTGCCCCATGGCTTGGTCCATCTAGTTCTTGATACTCCCCTTGTGGCAGAGTTTTTTCCATTCATAGAAAGACCTGTTCATGACTCCACTCCTTCTCCAGGGATGGCAGGAATGACCGAAACAACAGTTTCCCACTCTGAGAAGACAGACTGTCAGGAGTCCTCATTACTGCTGAAATGTGACATTGCTCCTGATCCAGTATCAAGTATTGGAGCTACTAACCCTTCCTGTTTCTATGTGTATGAAGAAGTTAACACACCTGATGTTGTGGCATTCCAGCATCAGCTGGGGCATGAATACACCCTACCCATACCTACCATTTCAGAGGTTGTGCCCCAGGTGGGTATCCATAATACTATCACTTCTAGAATGACTAGGCAATCTCGGGGATACCGTTAAAGTTTTTTTAAAAGCTTTAAAAAGTGTTTTTTTTTTTTTTTTTAAATGTTTTACTAATGTTTAAAAAAAGTAAAAAAAAATCCCACCCCCCTTTATCCAGTACTAATAAAAATTAACCTCTTCCCTGACAGTTGATCACTGCCTACAGTAATCAAAAACAGATCTGTGATCTGATTTTCTTTTCTTTTTTACCCTCAGTGTTAACTTTTTTTTTACCCTCAGGGGTTCAATTTATTTCATTAATTAATTTAAATATTTTAAAATTATATGTTTTGCTAGCTGGGGTGGATGGGATTTATGGGAAATTGGGGAATTTACTGTTTGTGCTGCTTACTGCTAATTAGGGGTTAACGGTAAAAAAGGTTTAAAAAAGTTAAAAAGTTTTAAAAATGTAATGAGTAAAAAAAAGTTTAAAAACAAGTTTTAAAAAGCTTAAAAGAGTAAAATAATACATTAAAATGGTCATTATCACTACACCTGGAACAAACTAACAAAGAAATGATCCCACGCTAAGGTTCAAAATATGCCTTTTGAAATACCCCAGGGTGTATTCTTTAAAAAATGCTATGCGTTTGTGACATAGTTTGTATAACAAACCAGCTAAACTACTCCAAAATGGAACATGGACACAGCATAAAACTTCAAAGTTAGAAAAAAACTGAATGGCTTCGTCTCAAATGTGCCCCTTCAACATCCACATTTACCTGGCAAAGGTACATACAGGGGTATTAGTAAACTCCGACGGCATAGCTGAGCAACCCATGAAGTATTACACTGCCATAACACATAAGATTTGCAAAATGTACAGTACTAGCTCACTGTGTGGGTCAAAAATGCAGAAAAAATGCTTATTACCACTACACTTAGAACAAAATAGCAACAAAATGGTCCCACGCTAAGGTTCAAAATATGCCTTTTGAATTACCCTGTGTGTATTCTTTAATAAATAGAGTATGTGTTTGTGGGGTAGTTTGAACAACCAACCAGTTAAACTACTCCAAAATGGAACATGAACACAGCGTAAAACTTCAAAGTTATAAAAAAACTGAATGGCTGTTTCTCAAAGATGCCTCTTCAACATACACCTATACCTGGCAAAGGTACATACGGGGGTATTGTTGTCCTCAAAATACAAACAAATAGATACATAGAAACCCAGCATTAAAAGTGTAAAGGGATCACTCTATCACTTGAAAATGCAAGTAGTTTGTTGTAGTGATCTACATAATGTAGCCAACCCTGCAGCTAAGAATATGGATTAAAATAAATGAGAACTGGTGAAAAAAATAATAATAATGGAGAGAAAAAATATAGATAGATAGATAGATAGAAAGATAGATAGATATGAATAATAATAGTCACCTAAGGTATGCTCCTATGCAAAAAAGTTATATATCCACTAAAAATCGCTTATCCAAGAAGAGTTGCAAATATATGTAAAATTAGCTTTATTAGATTGGCTCCCAGTGTAAAACAACTCTCAAGGATCATGTCGCCAGTGGTATATAATAGGATATATCTGGTATGGTGTATCCTATAGATCTATTGAATATTCAACTAATAGACTCTGATTAAAAAGGTACTCCCTAGTACTCTATATATTTCAGATTCGCCAGAAGTATCAATACATGATGTCTGTATACAGCCTGGTAGGGTATACTATATATAGAGGATAGCATGCAGCTATCAAAAGGTTTATATTTGGATCTCAGTGGATACCAGAGAAGCCAACAGTTATCAAAGTTCACAGGAGGGAAAGAGGAAGAAAATTAAAATTCTAATGCCAGCAAAAAGAGACCGGGAAAATTAAATGAAGAAGTCTCTCTCCCTTTAAAACTAGCTAAATAGACATAGGAACAGATAAGTAAACATAAAGAATAACAGTGATTATAACATCTCAAACAAACGTGCTAAAACAAGTGCCGTGCCCAGTGCCCAGTGCCCATAAACCAGGAGGAAAAACGCCTGACGCCCGTTTCGGTGCAGTGTTAGATGCACCTGACGAAGGCATAAATTGGTGAAAAACTTGTGACAAGTTAAGGCACAATATATGCCATTTAAGATACCCTGGGGTGTCTGCTTTATCAAATGGAAGCCCTTTGTGGGGTTATTTGAAAAGTGAAACTGCTCTAATACCCCAAAATGAGATATAGGCCCATCAAATCCATCTATGAAAATTCTAACTATAGAAACTGAAATAGCCTTGCCTCTTATAGGGCATTGTAGCTTCACAGAACAGTGCCAAAGGCATACAAAGGGGGTATCTTTATACTCACACCAGCTTTTTTACGAAATACACATTACAAAAACCTTCTTATATGTGCATTTTCCAAAATAGAGAAAACACACTATTTTACTCCAATATTTAGCAGAGATTGGCAATGAAATGGCTACGTAAAAAGTGTCAAAATAATCTTAGGTAAATAGCCTGTGATATCTACTTTATGTAAATAGATACTGTTCTGTGGCAATTTTGTTTTCTGTGATAGCTACTAAACCTACAAGACAAATACCAACTTCTAAAATTGTTTCACATTGAAATTTAACGCTTTGTGGGCTAGCCACAATGTATGTGGATCTGTGTCGGGTTGTTTATTCATTTCAAAGTATTGGCTTATTTCCATCTCAATGTGTTGTTGGAATGTGGTGTCAGAAAGTAGACTCTTATTCAGTTGCCAGGAGGTGTGTTTATATTCGTAGTGATCATGTAAAGTTAGTGTCACAGGTTGATGGTCGGACCAACGTGTATGTCCGATCTCACATTACATTACTTGTGGGAGGGAAGAGCCATGGATGAGGAACCCATCTATCCTGGAGTATGGGTTATGTACCTGGGAGTAGTGTGTGTGTGTACTCCCTGTTGTTTGCATGTAGAGCTCTCCACACATCATATTGGCCTTGGGCTGTTACTTCTGTAACTAAGTGTTTGCATTATTTATGTAATCCTCTACAATTTGGTCTGTCAGGTGATCTGGTTGTGTCCATTGTAGGATTAAAAATGTGGTTGATGTCACCACAGACTATCAGTGTCCCTGATAATTTTTCCATGGTCGACTCAAACACTTTGTGTAAGAACTGTCTTTGATTCACATTAGGTGTATATACTTTCAGTATGATGTATTCCCTATCATTGATCGTGCAAGTCAATATAATGTATCGCCCTTGTTTATCTTTGGTTTTGGTGTGTAAAACCACTGTCAACTCTCTGCCCAGAAGTATAGACACTCCTCTGCTTTTATGCGGAGTTAGGGTGTGTATTTGGTGAAACTCAGGATGATCATTTGTGCGATAATGTGTCTCTTGGAGACAAATTACATCGGCTTTAATTTTGTTGATCTCTCTCCATAGATTATGTGGTTTGAAGGGGATATTCAGGTCCTTACGTTATGCGAATATATTTTCATTCAAGGAGTGAGTTAGCCTGGACACTTTAGACATCTTGGGCCTAAGTCACTGCGCCTATAGATCCAACTCTATCCCTTGGGCATTTAGGTACAGGGATGTCTCTCACCACCATGAAAGGGGCACAATCTTGGAGCCATTCCCATTAAGTTAAGTGATGCCCTGTTCTTGATATACATTTCTAACGTTCAACAAATACATTCCCCATTCCAAATATAGATATATCATTTTTTGTTTTTTAATCTATGTATAATTAAGTATGTGGTGGAGTGGCAGGAAACTACCCTGTCTTAGTGAAGGGGAATTAGTGAAGATTATGGCTGTCCTAATGAGGACCAGTAACTGTCAGGTCAAACAATGTAGTATAGAAAATGTAGTATAGAAAAGATAGCATGGTGTTCCATCTTTAACTAAACATAGGCATATTGTATGTCTCAAACCCTCTTGTGTAACTTGAACAACGCAGTTGTGATTTCTCTGTGGTCTCATGCCTGGAGTTTCGGTTGCAGCTGTCTACGGACAGATTTCCATTCCGGTTGGAGTGAATTAGTTCCTTTGGTGGTGTTCTCCGAAGAAGCCCATTGTCGGATCAGTCAGGTTCCTTTTGCGGCATCACTGACCGGGATCAAGTTGTTATTTTTATGTATCAACAGTTTCGCTGGGAATCCCCATCTGTATTGCACCTAGGGATTCCTGAGTTCCAAGGTGATTTTGCGGAATGATCTGCATCTTTTCAGGGTTTCATCAGATAAATCGGTGTACACTTGGATGTGCTGGTATTGGGTTGGCAAATCTTTCCTTTTTTTGTTTGATCAGAGAATCAGCTATTTCACGTGAAAGTAATGCAGTTTTGTGAGCACATCTCTGGTTGTAGATGCAGGCAGGTGTTTAGGCCTCGCCACTCTGTGTGCTCTGTTCATTAGGAACATGTCATCTGGTACATCTGGCACCAGAGCTTTGAACAGGCTTGTCAGGTATGCTTGTATATTGGGTTGAGCTATGCCCTCAGGTATACCTTGTATTCTCAGGTTTTGGCGACGTGATCTATCTTCCATATTCATAATCTTTAGGTCTTGGCACTCAATTATGGCCTCTAGGGCTTCTACTTTATCTGCAACACTGTTGTGAGCATCTGTGAATTCCTCCATTTTCTGCTCCACCCTTGCCGTGCGCGTGCCCAAATCCAACTAATCTTTTTTAATGTCGGATGTTGCTTCGTGTATCGCTTTTTGGAGTTTCTCTGCCATTGTATCCAGCATCTGTTGGATCATGTCTCCTGTAATGGAGTGTTGCTCGGCAGGGGATTGCAGCCTTGACTGGTCATGGTCTTCTCTATCCTTGTCGCCATCTTGGGCCGCATGCGAGGTAAGTTTTATGTGGGCTGTATTGGCTGCAAAGAAGGCATGTCTCTCTCTGGAGTCAGTGTTTTCTGCACTGCGCTGTGACATGCTGATGTTGCCAAATCTGTGTGAATTTGCGCTTTCTAAAATGTTATTAATAGTCGCTTTTGAGCCGTGGATGTCGGAGCAGCACTATCACACGTACATGCAGCTCGAGCTTCGGCTGCGCCCCCACCCCATATTTTTTTTTTACATTATAATGTGGTGGCTGTCTAGCAAGCGCTGACCAGCAAGCGCTGACCAGCATCACATCTGAAACATAAATCAAACTAAACAGTTTGTCCATTGGCATATCTTTTAAATGTTGTTGGAATTTTATTGACATTGCAAAGTAGTTATTAATTACCATTTCTGTTTAAAGGAACACTATAGGGTTAGGAACACAAAGATGTGTTCCTGACACTATAGTGTTAAAAACACCATCTAACCCCCTTGTTCCCCTTGCCCTCCATAAATATAGCAACATATTATCTTTACTCTAGTCGTCTGCAGCTAGCTCTGCCCCTGATCTGCCTGATTGACTGAAACCAACAGAAGTGATTATCTAAGCCAACCACAATACCTTACCATAAGACTGACTGAGACTGCCAAGGATGCAGATCAGGGGCAGAGCCTAGCCAATTAGCATCTCCTCATAGAGATGAATTGAATAAATGCATCTCTATGAGGAAAGTTCAGTATCTAAATGCACTGTGCAGCACTGCCCCAGGAAGCACCTCTAGCAGCCATACGAGGAGTAGTCACTGGAGTTATCCCTTGGCTGTAATGTAAACATTGTATTTTCTCTGAAAAGACAGTGTTTACTGCAAAAAGCCTGAAGGGAATGATTCTACTCACCAGAACAAATACAATATGCTGTAGTTGTTCTGGTGACTGTAGTGTCCCTTTAATAATGTATCTTGAAAAACCTATAAGTGCCTTTTTGTCAATCAAGTCCTTGTCCATTAGTTACACCTTGCTTTGATTCATATGTCTAGAAAGCCGTAGGGCTTATGGATGAAGGTTCTAAAGCAGAGAGGATAGGTGAAGGAGAGAGGATAGGAAGACACATGAGGTATACTGGATATGATTAGATGAACGAATTGCATTCTAAACACATATAGCTAATTTTTAAACATTAAAAAAAAAAATTATATATATATATATATATACACTGAATAAAATTATAAATGCAACACTTTTGTTTTTACCCCCATTTTTATGAGCTGAACTCAGAAAAAAGGCCTATTTCTCTCAAATATTGTTCACAAATCTGTCTAAATCTGTGTTAGTGAGCACTTCTTCTTTGCCGAGATAATCCATCCACCTCACAGGTGTGGCATATCAAGATGCTGATTAGACAGCATGATTATTGCACAGGTGTACCTTAAGCTGGCCACAATAAAAGACCACTCTAAAATGTGCAGTTTTACTGTTTTGAGGGGTCCAGTGGGGCCCGGGGGGTTCGAAAACCAGTCAGTATCTGGTGTCACCACCATTTGCCTCACGCAGTGCAACACATCTCCTTTGCATATAGTTGATCAGGTTGTTGAATGTGGTCTGTGGAATGTTTGTCCACTACTCTTCAATGGCTGTGCAAAGTTGCTGGATATTGGCAGGACCTGGAACACGCTGTTGTATATGTTGATCCAGAGCATCCCAAACATGCTTATTGGCCGACAGGTCTGGTGAGAATGCTGGCCATGCAAGAACTGGGATGTTTTCAGCTTCCATGAATTGTGTACAGATCCTTGCAACATGGGGCAGTGCATTGTCATGCTGCAACATGGGGTAATGGTAGTGGATGAATGGCACAACAAGGATCCCTTCACGTTATCTCTGTGCATTCAAAATGACATCAATAAAATGCACCTGTGTTCATTGTCCATAATATACGCCTGCCCATACCATAACCCCACAGCCACCATGGGCCACTCGATCCACAACATTGACATCAGCAAACCGCTCACCCACATGACGCTGTACATGCTGTCTGCCATCTGCCCTGTACAGAGAAAACCAGGATTTTTTTTTTTTGTAAATCTGTTTTTATTGAAAAGTTGTTCAGACAGTCGATACATACGTTAAGAAGATTTGCATTTTGGGACATGCCAAATATCATCAGTTTGAGACTACTATCAGCATCGTTTTAAGGTTATTAACTGGTGCGAGGATCAAAGCTGTAATTTGATCCCCTGGTTCTTTTGGCTTAGAAACCGAACCTTTTCCATGCCCCTCATTCCGTACTCCTCCGAGGGGCACACAGCATCCATCTCCAAATCTCGTGATCGTTCTCAATGTGTGATCCTTCCCCATCCGTTAGTTATGCTTTGGGCTCGGAGCCTGCGTTGCTAATGCCTAGTGTTTTATCGTCCCAGTTAATTTATTATGTTCCGATTCGGTGCGTGTTCCCTTTTATTCGTTCTAATGGGGAAGCGGCTGTTGCCTTTATTTAGGGAGTTGTGTAAGTGGTATCTAGGGTGGTCAAAGGTGGTGTTTCAGGGCTTGTAGGTATCTTCCCTGCTGCGTTCTACAGTCTGTGTGTTATGTGTGTGTATGTTATGTGCCCACTGGTGGTGGGAGGGTTCTGGTGCGTGGGTTGTATATGTGTTGCATCAAATATATGATGTGAGGCATTTTCGGTGGGAGGTAGTCTTCCCTTCTTTACGTCAGGTTTTCCTCAATCTTTCCTAGTCAGGGTATGAGTGTGAAAGGAGAGGGGGCAGGTATGGGAGGGAGGAGAGGGAGATTTGAGGAGAAAAAGGAAAGATAAGGTTAGGCAGGGACAGTGTATGGTCCATGCTAAGGGGGGGTCGGAGCCCGCGCACCGCCTCCAGCCCCGGGGTCCACCCCATTCCGTGGGCATCGGGAAACATACATAAACCAGGGTTGCCATGCTTCCACATATCTGGTTTCCCTACCCGTCAGGGAGGCATGGAGCGCCTCTGCACCCTGAATGTCCTCCACTTGCCTGATCCAGAAAACCAGGATTTAATCCGTGAAGAGAACACCACTCCAAAGTGCCAGATGCCATCAAATGTGAGCATTTGCCCACTTAAGTCGGTCCCGACGAGAAACTTCAGATCAGCTTCCCTGAGACCGTTTCTGACACTTTGTGCAGAAATTCTTTGGTTATGCAAACCGATTGTTGTAGCAGCTGTCTGGGTGGCTGGTCTCAGATGATCTTGGAGGTGAAGATGCTGGATGTGGAGGTCCTGGGCTGGTGTAGTTACACGTGGTCTGTGGTTGTGAGGCCGGTTGGATGTACTGCCAAATTCTCTAAAATGCCTTTGGAGACAGCTTATGGTAAAGAAATGAACATTCAATTCACGGGCAACAGCTCTGGTGGACATCCCTGCAGTCAGCATGCCAATTGCACGCTCCCTCAAAAGTTGCGACATCTGTGGCATTGTACTGTGTGATAGAACTGCACATTTTAGAGTGATCGTTTATTGTGGCCAGCCTACGGCACACCTTTGCAATAATCATGCTGTCTAATCAGCATCTTGATATGCCACACCTGTGAAGTGGATGGATTATCTAGGCAAAGGAGAAGTTCTCACTAACACAGATTTAGACAGATTTGTAAACAATATTTGAGAGAAATAGGCCTTTTGTGTACATAGAAAAAGTCATAGATATGTGCAATTATACACCAGAAAATGTTATGACGTTTCAGTCCTCTATGGGACTTTTCTCAAAAAATAAAAGAACAAATAAAATCTTATGTCCACTTGAAGCCTTGTTGATGAAATGCGTTGTGGATATTTTATATTGTTTTAATAAAGGTATTTTGGCTACTTCCATTTGTGAGTGGACCATTTTACTTTTTTATATGTTCTTCTATTTTCTACCTGGCATCCATTTTATGTTCCAGTGAGGACTACTCCTAAAGAATCCAAGGTGGGGATTATACCACTTACACCCTATACAATCAGCAGTTTGTCTGCTCTACTAAATGTGAGTAACCATTTATTATTTCATTCTCCTGGCATTTTTTTTTTAACACAGTGAGCACTTTTGTTGCCTCTTTAAAATTTATTTTATGGTGTACATATTGACAAAACATCTACCTAACAACATATCATCATGTATCCCTAAGTGGGGATTGTACCACTGCACACTATTCATATTAAAGCTGGTCATAAGCTCTTAAAAATGTAAGTAGGACTATATTAGACTTTTTATACCAGTATTATCTATATATTGCACTTTTAGTTTTTACATATGGATGAATACCCTGATCTGACACTGTTTTAGAAGAATTATTCCTGACATATTTGAGGCTCTCTCTTCTGGCAAGTTTTATTGGACCACTTATTATTATTATTTATATTTTTTTATATATTGGATTTTTTTATATATTTGTAACTATACTTTGTCTATTCTGTTTTGGCACAACTTTATCTCTTCTTTTTTTATATCAGCAGTTTTTACTTACTTGTGGAGTTTAGAAGGAGTCCTACCATTTTAGGTGTGCTGCCTCATTTACATATATTCTACATTTTGTGTTTGGGTTTTAGAGCGCTGATTCTTTTCCGTTTGTTTCAGAAATGTATAATTTTTTGGCCATTTATTTACCTGGTGGATGAGAACCACCATTTCAGATTCTGTTATTTTCTATGGGATTGCCATCTTTTTCAGGCACACATTTCCATAAATACTTTCCTATGGGTAAGTGAATTCTGGGGGCCAGTGCAACTGTTGTGTATTGTTACACATTGTTTTGTGTAAAACAACTCTCACTGATTTATAGCTTTCTTAACATTTTTAAGATATATACTTTATATATGGCTTTATTATTATTTTCTTGATCCCTATCTAGATTAAACACTCTACCTTTTATCAGTCATAAAGGTAAGCATTTATTAAACATATCCAATAATGTATGACATAGGCATTTCTTATTACAGAGCATTATCTTGTCCCTTTCCATATATCACTGGAGTATTATTCCTTTAAGAGATTTTACTTAATTTCCCTCCTTAGGCACTAATATTTTTTCTAAAATAGTTTATATAACTGAAAAACAAATTCAAGTAGGTAATTATTATCTGCATATATGTTTTTACTATTCCAGTACATTTTCCTGAGTTGTTTGGTTGGTAATATTTGGTTCTAAATAAGTTAAAAGGCTTTGCAGTATTTCATAG